TTAAGATAGTTTCGACAAACTTTTGATTTGTTCGTACAGCCTGTTTGCTGACAATCAGCAAACTGATAGTCGGCGACAAGTCATGACCTAGTTTACGCAGTTAGCTGTCACTGACACGTCGCTGACTGTATTAATTGCGTACATGAGAACGTTACGAGTTGGCTGAGGGAGGTCTGACCTATTACCGACAACTAATCCGCTGTTCGTACTGGAACTTCTGATTGCTTGATGACTGTCAAATCAGACAGCAGATAATTTGCCAGTAAATTGTCAGAGCTCGAAATCAAGTACAATAATTATTCGAATGTAAAATTTTTCAGAATGAAATAGACAATTTTGGAAAAGTTGGGGGCACATTTGCTGTAAACCAGAAAGAACTAGGATTTTTTGTCCAACCGCACAAACGTGCCCGAGTTTTCCTCTAGAGAGGAAAACATGGGCACTTTCTAGAGAAAATAACAGCACCAAAAATGTCAAGTAGCTTTATTCAGTAATTACCATTCAATTCTCATATCAAAAGTATAAACATAAATTCGAAGAAATATGATTCCACACATGGAATGACAAGTTGAAGATGTAAATGCATAGTAAGGATTATGAATAAACGTCTGCAGTGATTATGCATGAAAAATGTACAAAGTATTGTGAATGACTTTTAATAAAACTCGGATAGTAGGGTATTTGTTCCCTGTTCCCTTGTCACGCAGCTTCCAAGTGTATGCACAAACAGTATTTATACAGGGTGACTTCGAAGTTGAGTCATTTATTTTAACAGTGAGTAGATCTGATCAAAAGATATGTTTTTTTCCTTTAACATTTTTCTGGTAAAATTTAAGTAACAAAGTTATAGCCCTTTAGAAGTTTGAGTACCGCCCTGTCAAAATAATAATATTATGTGCTCGTGTTTGGGAACAACGGATATATCGGTTCATCGCATCGGAAACAAAAAAGCGAAAGAATTTGAAACGTTTATCACGATGTTTTTCGTCATTCGGTAACGCGCGAGTGAATAGTGGTGTTTGTTGCGTGGCTCAAACGAAATAAAAAATGGCACATGTTTACGAAAATGCTGAACTTGTGGACATGATTCTTATTTACGGGGGGAGTCTTTACAAAATGCTGCCGCGGCATCACGGATTTGTGCGAATCGGTTTCCCAAAAGAGTGCAACCAACCCCTCGTGCCTTTGTCAATGTAGTACAAAGGGCTCGTGAATCAGGTGACTTAAGACCTCACAGGGGAGGGCATGCCGCTGCTCCAAGACTGCACGATCAAATACAGGTCCGCACTGAAATAATTGTCGGGAGGATACTTTATAAAACAAGGTAACATTTTTTTGATTTTTTTTTTTATTTTTACACACATATTTTGGTTTATCTTCCTTCTACAATCATTATCGGAAAATTAATGACTCAACTTCAAAGTCACCCTGTATATTCTAGCTATATAAGCCCAACCCAAAGCTGATGAAAAAATAAACAAAATAACGAATCCTGGACATTTTGTGATACAGCTTTTTCTCAAGGATACTCACGGGAGTTCTGCTGGGGTGAAAATAATATTATTTTAAATTCGACCCTCACCATTGGGATCATGGAAACTTCAAGGGATACGAACTCACTTAAGTAGGGGCAAAGTTGGTATTCAGATAATCAGCAAAATGTCGCTTAGACAGTTTTGAAATTGAAAGTACTTCCGGAAAGAGACGTAAAAAACGAAATTTGCCAAAATGGTTTTAGTTCTCTCCTGACTTTATTTGTAGTCGGATTTCAAAATAAATTGCACATGAACTTTGCCACATTTTCTCCTCTACAAGACGGCACAATTAGAATTTCAATATGACGTTTCGTCTCTTGTCCTTCAGCATCAACTTAATTTTTTCTTATATACGCCATATTGGATTTCTTACACACATGAATAGAATATTATTCTGATTTAAAAAATGTATGTTATACATTGACATTGCAAAACCTTGGTTATTCCAGAAGTTCCTAGGTAGGCCTTGAAATTATCAGATTTCATTTGTTTTCATAGCAACAGAGTCTGGGAGACTGAATATCTCTGCTTATTTATTGTTATTACTGTTATTTCGTATTCAGGTCTCACTATATGTATCTTTTTATTTCGTTTTAATTTTCATCCAACAACAAAGGACCCGGCAACACGCTTATGGGAAAAGTGGTTTCGGTTGATTTCGCTGAATTTTTGATATGTTATGCGTCTTGGCATCCCGAATAAATGTTTCAATTGGCACAGGCTCCTAATCTCTACGGGTCCCAAGATATAGGGCGTCCAAGTTGTATAATGGGGTTCTACACAAATATTTGAATGGAAGAGTGGTCTCTGTCAATTTCCCCTGAATTACTCATATGTTATGTGTCTTGGACTCCTGAATAAATGCCTTAATGAGCACATGCCCCAAGACACAACAGGTCTCAACATATAGGCCGTCAGTATAGTGGAGTAATCAGTCCTTCTCGAATATCTGCTCCAAGAGAAAGAGTGGTTTCGGTTAATTTCGCTAAGTTTCTTAAATGTTATGCGCCTCGGCATCCTAAATAAATGCTTTAATAGACACAGGCCCCACAACTCAACGAATTCCATGATATAGGGCATCCAAATCGGTAGGATCTATGTATTGGGTATAATGGAAATATATGATTTAAGTGAAATAGTGGTTTCGGTTAATTCCGCTGAATTTTTTATATGTTATGTGACTTGGAATCCTGACCAAATGCCTTAATGGACAGAGGCCCAAAAACTCAACAGGTCCCAAGATAAAGGGTGTCCAAGTCATATAATGTATTGGTTATACTCGAATATATCTGAAGTGAAAGAGCGGTTTCGGTATATTTCACTGAGTTTTTCATATGTTATGTGTCTCGACGTCCTGAATAAATGCATTGATGGGCATAGGCCCCAAAACTCAACGGGCCCTAAGATGTAGGCCGTCCAAGTCAGTATAATGAGATTACGGTTCTAGTCGAATATCTGCTTCAAGTTAAAGAGCGGTTTCTGTTAATTTCGCTGGATTCTTTATACGTTATGTGACCCGGCGTCCTGAACAAATGCCCTAATGGGCAGAGGCCCCAAAATTCAATGGGTCCCAAGATATAGTGCGAGATTTTGTGGTAACCACGAAAGTTACTACCTCCAACGACAGGAATGCAACACTCATGTAAATTATTGAATTGAGGTTTTGGTATCGAAGTAAGATAAGTACAGCTTTCATCAGTCAAATTATCACGATTAAGAGAGTGCGCACGATTTTTTAGAGCCGATTTTCTTAATCGTGTAAAAATCTACTGACTTCTATATAAAAGTTCCTCAAACGAAATCCTTTTTCATCGAGGTGCTGTGAACAGATCCGAGATTCTTGAGAGACGTAAATGTTACTCTCCAAATATATCAACTCGAGCCTCAATACTAAGAGGGTGCAAATGTATTCTCAGGTGATTACATAATTATGATACATGTTTCAGAGATTTTTTGTCGAACGACATTCAACCTAAGACTTTCGGGATTTTGCAAGGCCGCTTCGTCCGGTGTAAGTAATAAATCAAAGTTAAAACAAACATGTGATATATCATTTATCACAAAAGCAGAGTGGTTCAGCTCCTCACGGTACCTCATAGCAATCTCCACTTTTGGATTGCTGAAGTTTCTCACAAGTCCCATGGTTCGAATAGCGAAAACTACATTACACACATAACATGGCATGCGCTGCGCCATGCTCGGTGTTACAGTATAAGATGCAAGCTGCACATTTGTCAAAATTAAAACTCTACATGTATTGCTAAAAATAACGAAAATAAAACAATCGAAAAATCAAAACGAAAATGGAAAATGGAAAACCAAGACGAAAAACGAGAGAACAAAAACGAAACACGATTAACGATAAACAAAATATGAGAACCGACCAACAAAAAGTATATAATGCAATGAAAAATTAAGCAGAAAATGCTGCTAGCGTATTCGATCAATGTTCGGCTGCGCATGCAGCAGTTTCCCTTAAATAGAGAAATAGACAACGAGCGGCGACAGCATTGAAGAGGAGCAAATACGCCCGTTGGCGTAGCTAGATCTCTAACGGCCCGTCGGTGCGAAGGTGTCGTCCATCAGAGAAGAAGAAGAGAAATCGATGATTAAATGCCTTTTGCGAAGCAATTTTAGTACTGAAGATAGTTTCGACACCACTCTGATACATGTCACTGGTTGACTGATATCCTCTGATCTGTCAGAAGGTTATGTATGTACGAACAGCGGATTAGCTGTCGGCAAACAGTCAGAAACTGTACGAACAGATTGATTCTGATTTTGCCAGTCACCGACCAGTTACCGACTGCTGTACGAAAAAACCAATCGTTAGTCGGCTTGGAGTTGACTACCAACTGCTGAATGATATTTGATGTCATTGCCATTGTGAGAACTAACGTTCCGACTGCATCTTGAACATATTTGATAAAAAGTACTTTTTCTGTGTTCTTTGAAATGATTCAATTGAACCAGCAGTAATGAAAACCTTCCAGGAGATCTACAGTGTGACGAGCAGGTTGATAGTTTACCAATGATCATCAGACTCAAGAAATATGTTTGCGTGCCATGTACATTATATTTGTTATACATTGGGAGTTTCTGATAAGTAAAAAATACCGTTTATGTTGATTGAATACTCTGGGTAGAATTTCTTTGTGAAATATGACTTCTTTTAGTTAAGATTTTTAAGAATAAAAATAGTGTATTTATGTTCCACACTCTTACTAGTACGCACTGTTTTCACAACCGCCCAAGGAGGCAGCTAGTCGTTTAGCAGTTGTTGTTACTAAGAACGCAAAAGCAACGCAACTTTAGTTAAAATCGGGTTGAAGTCGAGTTACCGTCCCTAACTCTATAGCGCCTAAAGTACTAAACACGAACAATTTGGAATCATATTATCTGTCTTTTCATTTAGCTAGAAATAAGACTATCATTGTCAGAATAAAACAACGTTTTTTCTTTCAGTTGGTGAATCATCAGGCAAAGGTAGCAAATCCGTAGCTCGCCACATTCCAGGCAATCTGTCTGACCTCAACCAACGGGCAACCTCAGCTTCTAGCGAGGTCAGCCGTGCGCACAGGCTTGTCCTGGAACGAGGAGACAAGTTGAACCAACTGGAAGAACGCGCCGAAAAGATGAGGACCGAGGCTGAAGTATTCTCATCCTCCGCACACGACCTGATGCTCAAGTATAAGGACAAAAAGTGGTACCAGTTGTGAGAGCGTTAATTCAACATATATGTAGTATCCACGGGTCTGAGTGAGATGGTTGTGACTTGACACGTTCAGTGCAAATAAATCGGAGCTGTAACTATGAGAAACCTATTCTTTCAATTGTTTTGAGATGTTTAGCCCCGGTTTTACTATTGACCTGTGGCAATCAAAATATGAGCATATGTCTCAAATTTGACCAACGAGAAGGTTTATGAAGCAATGGGTCTATCTATCTATCTAATCTATCTAATGGTCGATTTCTTGTAAAATACTTATGAAACTAGACAAAAATTATACGATTTGTGCAAGAAAGGGCCTCTATCTCATATTAAATCAAGGGATACTATGAAGTATTTATACATAAATATCACCTGGTTTAGCTACAAAAACCTCTTTATTCATTTGGCTCCCGACACAGAACTTGTGACCCATACTCAAATTCCACCAACCAAAAAGAAGAGCCTTCAATGAGCATTTTATTGAAGATAACAGTGTCACTACTTACCTGAGAAAGATGGCTTAAAAAAGGAGATATTTTTATCAATCCATCAACATGTCCATTCAGGTTAACTACAAAAACCTAATTTTTGTCCTGGCTGAACAAAATTCTGCTTAATAAATTATTTGAAGACTTAAATAAAATTTTAGAATGCTTATTCTTTACCAAACATCAAGTATATATCCAGTTTACTTGAATATCGTGCGGAAAACTCTGTTTCTTTTTAACTATTTTTATGTCAACACGGGTAGAGTTTTTATTTTCCTGACTCAACAACCAACCGCTGGAGCCACCTACTACCTTTTATTTTTTTTTGGCAGGGGAAGGATTTTATCGCCACTCTTATGCAGAAAAAACCCGACAGTATTGCCCTGCCGGCATTTCCTGCCTTCCTGCCCGAAGTGTGAGATTCTCCAGAAATGGCATACTCACTAAAAACCCCACAGTCGTTCGCCACACATCCCACCACGGTAATGCTTACAGCATTTCTTCATAGTGGGTAGCGTTGCGCTAAGTTCTCATACCGAAGGTATTACTCAACTATTCTCTATCGTACACATACATACGCTTATATGTATGTGCATGCACAACCGAGCAAAATACAAACCTACTATTGGTTCCTTGGTCTATTCTTGTTGTTCTTCCGTACCTTACTCAGCATCCTTCGCCTCACTATTGGTTGAATATTAACCCATTTCAATTCGCGTATATACGTGGAAAAATTGTCAGCAGTGAGCCTCTCGCCGAGCGTCAGTACGAGCAGTATCTGGTAGTCAACTTAACTACCACACTGGAGAAGGTAATTAGGAGTATCCTGCTCTCCATTGCAATATACGCAATTCGCATAGTCTGTTTTTCCTTCCTTCTTCACGTAGCTATCAAAACAACCATGTCCTGTGAGGAACTGTGTGGCATAGTAATCTATCTCCATCGCTCCCTTGTCAATCCAAGTTTTAATATCTGGTGTTCACCTTCTGGTCCATGCAGTATGGCCAGTTGCATCGCATCTCTTCTACCATCTGACAAAAAGCGCCTCTCTTTCGTCGCTTATAGCTTCAACGGCCTTTTTATAGAGCGCACATTTCTCCACAGCAAGCAAATGAATTGGCGGGATTCCAGCCACCACCAGCAGTGCATCGGTCGAGACCGTTCTGTAACCGCATGCCACGCGCAGCAATACTTTTTGCTGGCTTCTTAATATCAGCTGTCTATATTTGTCTCCCAAAATCATGCGCCTCTCACTATGGGGGGCCTCCGTCAGATGGCATCAACCGTATCAGAGATGCAACGACCTTATTTACCTTGTCAGTGGTGCGCCTTATAGGTTCAATCGTTTTCAGATCTTTGTCAAGCCAACACCCAGATACTTGATTGCATTTTGGCTCCGAATCTTCGAATTATCAACTCTAATAGCTAATGAAGTTAGCTTCTGTCTGCCGGAAAGTATAAGTAGTTCCGTCTTCTCAGGAGCCAACTTCAAGCCATTCTCTTCCATTCATATGGTAGCTCTCGTGATTCCGTATGCCAAGAGTCATCATCGCAAGGTCGTCAGCATACCCTGTCAAGCGAATTTCCTGCAGCATATGTAACCAAACAATCCCATCGTAGAACACATTCCAAAGGAACGGTGCTAGGACGGAGCCCTGCGGCACTCCCATGATTACCCTCATCGTCTTTTGCACTACCATAAGTGCCCTCTAAGCGTACCTTGCCTTGTGTGTTTCGCACGGTAGTTGAGTAAATTGAATATTTACTCGATGTTTGTTAAGGAATTTAATAGAATTGTGTTCAGCCAGGACAACAATCGATGATCTAGTTTGACTGACCTGTAACTAATATATAAAGAGAAAAAATTGGTGTCAGCGGCCAAATGAATAAATAGGTTTCTGTAGCTAAACCAAGTGATATTTGAAATATTTCTAGATTTATTATGAGAATTAGAGGCGCATCTTACCAAAGCGTATAATTATTGTTCTCTAGTTTGAGAGACATTTTACAAAGAATCGACCATACTTGGCCGAATTTACGACCATATCGCAAACAATTCTTTTTGGTTGGTGAAATTTGCATCTGAGTCACATGACCTGTATCCTGAGCCAAATGAATAAATAGGTTTTTGTGGCTAACCCAGGTGATATATATCATGATATTCCTTGATTTAATATGAGACTAGAGGCCGATCTTACACAAATTGTATAATTTTTTTCTAGTTTCAGAGACATTACACAAGAAATCGACCATATTTTTAGATCTATTACTTCAAAAACGCTTTCTCACTGGTCCACAGACGCAATGGACTCTGGGCAAAATGCATAGTAAATTTTTCCACGGCATGAACGAAATGTGGTGAGATTTGTAGACTGATTCCTGTACTTTATCGTATGTAAAGCTCAGTGTTGTAGGACATGGGACATAAAAGTTACAGGGCGTTCAGCTAACAAGTTGCATCGCAAACCTTTCTCGAGAAAGCAGCATTATTACTCCGCAAACGCCTTTGGCAATATTCAATAACGTATATACAGGGTGTTACATTGTTGAGCTGTATAGCAATAAAATGAACTATCTATATTCTTTGTTTTTCACGACGGGGACAAATGAAGTGTGGTGGAATTTGTAGACTTAATGCCTGTTATTTATCGCGTGTGAAGCGCGTTGCTGTGGCATGTGAGAGACAAACGATGCAGGGTATTCAGCTAACCAGCTGGTCAGCAACAAAATTATAATGAGAGGCAGAATTCAGTGCTTCCATGGTCGCCGTACTATTGGAAGTAGCCCACACGTCACCACGGTGGTTTATTTTTTCAAGAATACAACTTGTCACAGCTCTATGCTATGGTATCCAATTATAGTATAAAGTATATTTTAGTAATATATGAGTATAATTTTTATTGTGCATTATTTAAAAAAATATATAAAGCTTTGGTACCCCTGAACAATGAAATACCCTGTATAAATAGTTTTGATGAGTCTCTCGATGCAGCATATAGTGATCTGTTAATAACTATTATTTGGCAAGCATTTGTCCAATAACAATACATTCCGTTCCACAACATTTAGGCCACCCTGTATCTTGCTTCCATGTTTTTTTGTGAAAATATCTACATAAAATAAATAATGGGATCCATCACATATGTTGTCTGTGTACGTAATGTTTCACTACCGGGGCGGATTCTGCCCAATGTCCTTTTGCGGCTCAAATTATTAAAATCGGGCCTTATTAATGTATTGAGAGTTCTTTAAATAGCGCGGTTGTCAGTTAAGGAATTATCTTCTTTTCAACTTGTACTTATCAGGCATGTCCAGTCCTTTTAATCATCAAATTAGAAGACGCTGTTCAAAATGTTCAACTTCATATAACTTCTTGACGTTTACGTGTGAACCGTTTAGAGGTCACGAAAAAAGCTTGGTGGGTTTTCGCTTCATTTAGCAAGAACTTGAGCTGTGTTATAGATTTGCAGAAATTATCAAGTGAGTGGAAACTCCGCCTTTATTGTTACACTTTTCCAGTATTCATGATCTGGATAGCGACGAAAAGATTTGATACGAATTGTACTCAACGTGTTAAGCTAGACTTGTAGATCTATGTGTGGTGTTAATGAGTATTTGCATTCAACGTATGTTATAGTTCTTGAGTCGACAAAAAATGTTTTAACGGTGAGTTGTATTTACCACTGATACCACATATTTGCCTACAGAAAAAAAACATTAGTTGCAATTTGGAATATATATTACCATACCATATATTTCAAATAATTTTTTTCTAAATGAAAATAGTATGTGTACAGATTTTCTTACTAGTATTATAGCATTTATAGATGACATTTATGGAACAGAAATTGATAATATAAACAAATGTTGTAAATACAAGCATTTTCATCCTATTAGCTTCATTCATATGTGCACATCTTACATATGTTTTTCCATGTATTTGAATATTTAAAATTTGAAAGCATATTCTCCTAACATATAGACACACTACGATCGTTACCTATGAAGAACAGATTTATTTAATATTAACAGATAATATTTTCTTTTCCTCTTGAGGATTTAGTAGAAAAAAATAATACTCGTAAAATTGTTGAAGATTTCAGATCACCATGATACTTTTGAAAGTATATCTGCAATGTTTATGTTATCAGTTCAGATTCTGAAAACTTCCTTAAATGCAAATTGTGATATATTATAATCTATTCCGCCTATCGTGAGGCTTGGAATTATAACCTTATTGAAAGGCACATGGTTTTCGCACCTATATTATAACTTTTAATGAAGTCAAAAAGGTGAGCACAGACTTATCTGGACTACTTACTAATTCCGGATACGATACCTTGGAAAATTGAGGCTTAAGTATTGGAAAACTAATCCTTCGGGAAACTTGACAAAAGCTGAGCATATTTACTTTGTTCAAGTAGGCCACATCTACTACTGAGCTAGAATCGTCGCCATCTAGCGGTTACGTGATGACTGGGGCTTCAATTTCGCGGACTAAGATCTGAACAGTCCCAACCGGTAAGCTGCGATTCACTGTTGTGTGGTCGATTCTAGCTGTAAATCTTATTCTGTTAGGTCACTTTGGATAGTGTATAAATGCTATGCTTTCGTTGGTTGTCCGAGAGATGCAGGCCTAGACTATGCCGAGGAGTAGCCAAAAATCTAAACCGCTGTCTATGATTGGCTGTCTTTGGTCGGATGGACGAAAGTGGATCATGTTTATTTTAGTCTTATTATTTCCAATGTGTACTGAACGATCGGACACTCCACTCCATATTATTTTGTAGTCTTCCACCATCCCATTTGTTTTGTGTCTTGAATGTTAGTATGCAATCAAGAAACGTCTTTACTATAATTGGTGAAAAATTCAGATCAACTTGATTTGAAACGGTGGATAATGCGTTGATTCATTTTGGGTTTAAGACAGACAATGGTATTATTAAAATAGCTACACCTCATAACTGGTTTGCTAAGTTTGTGTTCACTAAAGCTGGGTTTACACGCTAATGATAAAACCTGTGTGGGAGGGATTTTGACCTGCGTTACAGAAACGTGAGAACCCAGCAAAACGCGTGTTACTGTAGATCTATATACGGTATGAGGATTTAGATGATAAACTTTTTACCTTTGCTACTGACTAAAGAAACGTTACTTTTAGGATGTACCTTTCGTTGTACCGTATTCTATTATACAGGCTATGATAGGGTGGATATTCGGTGACTTTATAATTTTTTGAACTGCATTTGTACATTGGCATCAAATTTAATCACTTGAATGTAAATGAATCATTTCAATGATCCACAACTTTTACTAGTGTTATACTGATTAATTTTATCCCACTGCATATTTATGTTCTAATGACGATAATGGCCCAACTAGAAACTCAAAACACCACTATAAAATATAGTAGAGTAGGACGTATTTTACTTTAAGACAACATATTCTCGCAATCAGAGACACGATTTATTTATCAGACTACAATAAGCTCAAAATAAATGCATTGATCAAGTATATGAGTAGTCTTACCTCAGATACATAAAATTCTTCACTATTTTCGTTAATGGGATTGAGTGGTGCTGCCAACGTTAATACATGAAACTCAATCTCATAACAAGACAAAATTATGGCATGTCACCGAAAACACCCTGTTAACTAGTCATAACCATACTTACTCCAAAGAGTAACTGAATTAGTCATATGGCTGTATGTTACTTTACCCTTTATCATAGTTGCCATGTTCAACCTTTCCTTTAAACACTGTAGATAATCCTGAGCATCGTAACTACTCGTATATAACGTACGGTTAGCTATATAGTGAATGTAAATATGTACTAAATTTGTTCTTTTCTTTCTTTAAACAACAATATAGAACATGTTATAAGTATTTGGAAGACAATAAGAGGTATGAAAACAGGAAGAACGGGTTACTTCTCGTAACACCAACGTGGATCTAGAGGTCCACTTTAGTTTCCTTACTTTTGCACTCCTTTTTTTTCATTTGAATGTTTGAGGTGCAACTATTGAGGCACGGTGGACCCGATTACTTTGTACTTTCAATTATCGGAAAAAGTTTTTTTTTGTTATCTTCAGTAAGGGATTCCATATAACCCGGTTTCAGTGCAATATGAGTGTTATTTGTCAGATTGCCGTAAGATGTCTTTTTAAAGTATTGGTTTAGAGCTTTTAGAGAATGACAATTAAAAAAGATTGCAACAATATTAGCGACAGATATTAGAACTAAAATACCTTTGGAAAGCGAAACTCTTTCAGATGAATCACAATCATGCAAAGGACTTAGTAATCGAATCCATGCTTTTAGAGCTAACGTCTCCATAGTACAACTGTCGATGTAACTATTGCATTTTAATGAAAGTCTGCTTTGCTCGTAAGATAAAGTTTGATAAATGAAACATTTTCTTCTCCTAAAACTTCTGGATAAATAGGAACTTGTTGGCAGTTACACATGTAATAAGAGCCTTTGTTCAAGCCCAACAAGATATCAACGTTTTTGGATATAGCTGAGTCGGTCATTTCGGAGCACAACATGCTATTTACTTAGTTTCTGTAACCTTGTCAACCTAAGCATATTACAATCTCTATGTTCTGTTGGCTGCCGAATGAAACCACAAATGTAGACTAAAAGTTTTCGACCATTTCGGTTTAGCCTTGAACTAAAAACTTCTGAATTCATATGTTATTGTCATTCTGAATGTTGCACATTGTGTCCGAAATGCCAGTAAATTTCCATTTATACATTTGTGGTTTAATTCTGCAGTTAGCAGAATTTGATGCTTGATCAGCGAGTCAAGGATGTGTTTCAGATGTTACACTAAGCACATTTGATCTGATAAATGAGATTCCAAAATCCCTTAAACCTTAAACCTTGCCAGTTTCTATACATTTATGATGCGTTAGTTATTTTGACACAGATATTTTATTGGGATCTGCACTTATTGCAAAATTCAAAAACGGCAGAAATCACATGCATATCAAATAACTCAGTTAAAATGAATATATTTATATAAAACGTTAACGTATCTCAAATGTTTATCTAAATAGAATCAAAAGATTTTATGGAATTTCATAACCTGGAGATGCTTCATCAATTTTGCAATGAGTACAATTCTCAAAGGCTCCATATCTCGCATTAATTCATCTCATACCAATGGGGAATATGCACGTTTTTTGTATCTTCTCTCGATTATTTCCGTTAATATAATATCATAAACACATACTTCATTTTTCGCGCTCTTCGCAGTGACGTCAAAACATATGGTCATTTTATTAATGCGGGTCCCACTCGATGCTTCCAACGTTGTGTACAACGTTGTTTACAACGTTCGACACACCACAATTGGCAAGTGCGTCTCCTACACGATGGGATGAACTTTTTAGTCTCGGACGTTCGACGCATGGTGGCGCCAACATCTATTATCGGTGTCAGTGTCGCGCTTGAACCTTTACTACTGAAGGAAAAATTATACAAAATGAACGATGAAATAATTTGTTCTAACGCCGAAAAATAATTTCAGATGTGTCGAAAAACGAAGTTTAACCGTTTTTTGTTCGTTTTTCGACGATCACTCCGCCGCCACTGAACCGATTTTCAAAAACTGCAGAGCTTTTTCGACATTTTCATAGTAGTAACCTAGGGTCAAAATTTCATCAAAATCCTGATAGTATCTACTTTCAGAGTTATCATATATTTAATCATTTTCGTTAGTTATGAAATGCAAGTCAATATATCTCTCAACTAGTCTTGCATTGCAACAGGACATTATACTGAAACAACTGTAAGCACTTGATAATTTATAATTTACTAAAATACATATCCTTGGGCCAGCCATAACTCACCTGCGAAACGTACGAAATATTAGCAATATGAAAAAAGTGTCGTTAAGGCAGCCTATGCTCTGTATGTATACTAATTTAATTCATTCTCCTCAAAAGTTAGTTACGGAACATACATTATTATGAACAGGTAGCTATTCAAATCAAAATATTTCCCACATACCACTAATTCGCCATAATTACAGCAAACAAGTAAATAATGTTTTTCGCCGCCACTGGTTCTAACATAAAACCATCAAACACATAACATCTCGTGTGGGAGCATGACGAACCTTGCTTCCAACGTTGTAACGTCCTTTTACGCGGGTTAACTTTACCGACAAGAGGCCGAATGTGCCATGTGGCGAACGTTGGACACATGTAAACGATCAGCGCTCTCCCACACGATGTGGCGAATGGCCATGTGTCCAACGTTGTAAGGCATTCGCCACATCGTGTGGGATAAGTTTTAAGTTTAGTTAATTTCGGTGTAGCTAATAATCTATGTTTGAGTTGCTGTCATGATTTGCTGTCAAGCTTTAAAATGTTCCATTTTATACCCTCTACCCTCTAGTTTCAATTGAAACAAGGGCATGAAAAGAGCATATTTGAAGAACAGAAACATTATTATAAGTACTGTAGTGTGCACATCTATAAAAGTCCGATACAGAAAACACCCGAAAGTGTTTTTTCATATTCCCCGAAATGTTAAGATAAAAGTGATTTGAAATTATGAAAAGGGATATATCCCCAAAAAATATTTCATATTGTTGTGAAAAACATCTTAACGTAAGCACAGAATACGTAACTACCATTTTGTCCAAATATGTTTAGTTTGTACTTACCTTAGATTTTAAAGAGTTTTTTCCTTTTGAGATTTGATGAAGTGGTGGATTCCGCGTCAACCAGTACTCTTTGGTACTGATCAAACTGATAGGTTGACAATCAATGACAGCAACAGATGATCGGCTGCTCACTTGCCGACATCATGACGACGTGACGGCAATAGCGTTGCGTTTAGATATTTTGAATTTGCGGCGTATTTTCCCATTTTTTTTTTAATAATTGATACTCGTGACTTTATAGCGCATAAGTATAAAAAAAGGTTGATGGTGACTTTCTGTAACAATAAAAATGAATAAACGATATTTGGAATCACATGCATATTCTCTATTGACAGTTGAGCTGAGCTTCGAATAGAGAGGTGATGAGCTTATTTTTTATCCTCACTACTGACAAAGTGGTCCGTATTCAGACTTGTGATCCCTGGCAGCAAAAACTGAAAATGGTGATGCATGAAGCATGATCTATAAATGTGTGTATGCTTTACCAAATAACATGGACGATTGTAAACTTTCGACATGACTGCGCGACATTATTGGTAAAGTTATTCCGAGAGTCCACGACTATAAAATGTAAACTAGATTGAGCCTTCATGAGTATTAGAGGAAAAATAAGATCATCTGAATCTAAGCAACTGTATGCCAATATCGTTGATATGGATAAATTAGAAAAGAGATACGAGAAACTGACGTTTTGATGGAAGTGGGGTTATCCGCAAAAGCAGCTTTTTTGGGCCTTTGGTTTTTCTATTACATCATTTGATAAGTATTTTTACACTTCACCTGAGGAGATTTGCAATGCCACAAGAGATTCTTGTGACCTGAAAAATGTAACAAAGATATCAAACAAATATTTGCTTAACTTTTTTTAATTTCCATTTTTCTATAATTCTACAGGATCTAAGAGGAGAGCATAATGTTGGTACGCTGAAAATATGAGAAATTTTGCTTACGCACAGAGGTATTTAATCCCGAGCTGTTTAGAAGAAAAATATTGAATAACTATCAATAGACTGTTAATTTTGACTTATGTTTTTAGTTACAGTCTTTTCTTTTGTCTGAAATATTTTTGTTACTTCTTAATATGGTTCAAAAGTTTCAAGAGTTCATTTAATATACCTTGAATTAGTCCGATATGGAAGGCACAAATGGAGTCCCCTACCTACTTGTTAAACTTTTCGGAAACGGTAGGTTTCCATCCATTTGATCCACGAAGAAATTCAGTTATCTTCAGTTTACTGTCATTAATCGATAGTAGAAAAACGGAGCTGTAAACATAAAAGCATGAATGAAAAAAACCGTTTTTTTCAACTTCGTGCTTGCTTTTTGAAGCTCAGAAATATTGTCGCATTTAGATAATCAATAAAGTCTGATTATCTTTGTTACTAACAATCGCCCTGCCCACCTCACCGCCTGCTCCATTCTTTAAGTCTTCCTTTTTCTCCATTTAACATTTGCCAAATATGTACCTATTTATCGCATAAGAATCAAAGTATAAGAGGATAATGTATATGTAGTAGTTATAGAACAAATGAAAGTGGTCATTTTTTGGCTCGCAGTCTAGTATATTCGCTTAGCGGGTGAAAGTGTTGTATTTTTTCTGTAACAGAGAAACTGATGTAAATGTATCCATTGCTTGTTACGTGGAAATATGTTTTAGTGACATTTTACACAAAAAATAAACAAAGTAACTACTTAATTACCAGTTTACAGAAGGCATCGACAGGTTCATGATCTGTTTGAATATATACACCACCATGTATATTATTTTTATGTCAAGGATCATAACTTATTGAAGAATAAAAAAAGAAATCAATTTTTCATAATAACGATGCACTAGTAAACCTATATTTTGATGTGTACACAGTTTTCTAATATTGTCGATAGTGACAGCGTCATAAATGAAAAGCACACTTAACAAATTTTCACATGGCGAGCACACCGAATTTTTTAAGCTAAAGATAGAAGGTAAGGTTCCGCAGTTAACCTACTACCCTGATTATTGTAAAACATTAAATGGGGTGACTAGGTGGGACTTTTTGTGTTTTCTTTATATAAACATTCCATTTCAGAGAGCCTTGGATGAAATAGTGGCAATATTGTGGTATGTATACGGTGTTTGGATGCTTGTTTTTCGCTGTTGCCAATTTTTCACGTATATTTCTTGTATAGGTATTAATTTTTCAATGCGATCTTACATAACAATTTTTTGTACGCTATCATTTTAGAAGAAGAGAACCTGGCACGTGATATATCTTTTCGTATGAAAAATAAGCGGTTGTTACTGCCACTATTTCGTATAAAAGGCCGTTTAGTCTACTTATGAAACTATTTTGTAAGCTAATTTTACTTACCTATATTTACTGAAGTTAGGTGCATTTGCCTTTCGATGGTTTTTGTAAATTAACCGAATTGCAGTAAGAATATACAATCATGGTGTTGACGGTCCCTTAACTGGAATACTTTGAAAATAGACACAGTGAATCTCTTTGAGAGGTTTGAAAAGTTACTCTATATTAGCACTATTATAATTTGTGATTTAAGTTTAGGAGAACGGATTCTCTTTCAAAACGTCACATTACATCTTTTAATGAAAAGTGAAAGAAAAAAATTGCAAATTTGAATGCATATCATGCCATTGCTAGTTACTATTTCATGGATATAAAAACATCCCCAAGTTATTTACTTACTATACATCATGCTCTGTATAATTGTCTGCATTCGCTTGATCCCCACATCGTGCAGAAAAAAAAACAGTTCCAATTATAAGAAACGCTGATTAACACATACATATATTCATTGACGCATAGGTGTTAATTTTTTACATAATATATATTTTATTTTTGCATTCGTTCGAACTACATATAAAAATATTTAGAGAAGTGGGAGCAATTCGTTGTTATAACATTTGAAAGTATATATTTAGGATGTAAAAAGCGCAAATAACACATTGTATGGTTTTATCTGTCAAAGTTTATTTCCGTTTGTACACCAGCTGCTGTGTGTATATTTGAGAGGATTGCGTTCCCATTTCAGTTTTATGTATATCCTGTTAAGCTATATCTAGTATACACATACAAATAATATATTATACTGTTCTATGAATAAAGGATGATTTGTTTAAACTGGTTGCTTTTATACGTTCATGCCTTAACTATTTAAAAGTCACACTATGTAAACACATGATGTCTGCTATATTCCAAATCAGTCTGATGTGCAGGTACATTTGTGTTTGAGCACTTGCTTAAATCTCATCATATAGTTCTTTGAAAGTCGGATGGGGCTACACTGCAGGTAAACTGAGTGACAAAAAAAGGTAAACACATATGTATGTTTATTGGAATTCAAGAATTTTTTACATATCTTGCCATGAACAACAAGTGATACAACGTTCATGTTTTCTGTTTTTATGGTGGCTGCGTGTACTATTTCGTGATAAAGAAGCATCCAGTTTTCGTACATTTACGGTGTCAGCTAAATGATAAATTTCGTGTAGCTTTTATTTAGAAGCCTTTTTTTGATTGCCCAAAATGCCTAGAGTGTATAGAATTCGCAGAATTCGCCGGGTGTCCCAGCTAAGTGACGTTGAGAAGTCGAATTGCGTGAAGTCGGTCTATCGATAAGAAAAGTTTCTAGGAGGATCAACAAATCCTTAGGCAGCATACTGCAGACAGGCGTAGACTCAGGAAGGCCGAGGACAGCGAGCGAGGGGTTCTGGACGTCCCCGAGTAACGACAGAGCGACAATACCGCCGGTTAAGACTTCTGGGTCTGAGAGACAGATTCAGTGGTACTTGAGCCATCGCTAACCAGTGGTTCGACGAGCATGGAAGGATGGTTGGTATGCGTATGGTAATTCGCCGAATACGGCAGTTTGGCGTTTTTTTCCTAACGCCCACATTGGGTGCTATCTCTCACAGCTGAACATCGGCGTAACCGTTTGCGCCGGTGTAGAGAAAGAATTCTGTGGGACAGGGAATGGAATCAGGTGGTCTCTAGTGACGAATCCCGTTTCTATCTGGGGATGCACGATGGTCGGACAAGAGTAAGAAGGCGACGTGCTGAAAGACGAATTTGACAGAGGGCGTCACGTTCACCATACCGTGGGAGTTCTGGTATATCTTATGATCACCACTAGTTTTCATCAGAGGCAATATGACCGCCCGACGCTATATTCAGGAAGTAGTGGTGCCTCATCTAAACACCATCCAAAAGCAAGACAATGCCAGACTATTTGAAGCGACATATTTTTTAATATTCAATAAATATATTTCTTATACATTCATAAAGTATTCATTATAGATATAGTACATATAATTCATATATTTCTGCGCTATATTTTCCAAATATTTAGAAAATATATGAGAAAATAATTATTTATAAATATCAATTTTATATTTTGATGAAATATCTAATATTTATCGTGAATATGTATTTAGGAAATATATGAAGCAACATATTCTAAAGCATTAATTTGATACATATTTTTTGTGAATATAGAAAATTCTTCATTGATTATTTTAGAAAAATCTGTAGGAATGCTTTTATAAAATTGGGTTTATGAAGAAAATTCATTCTAGATATAATGGTTTAATTTGCTAGAAAAATATCATTAAAAAAACATTGTAAGCCTCTTCTGCATCTTGCAAATACAGTCCTCTGAAAAAAATCTTACTAATTATGAAGTATTATTGAATACATAACCTGCTTTCCAGTGGCCTTTCGTTTGAGAGAGATATTCTCCCAAATTACTCTAGAAGGTGTATTGTTGGGAATATAAAATGTAGTGGTACAATATTGGTGCTGAGCACTACTTAGGTACCCCGAGTAGCTCAACTGGATGACTGCAAAGCAGCTCTATAATGCACCTAAAATGACGAGAGTTAGAGATTCAGTTAATTTTTAAGAAAATTTGGTATTTTCTTTTAGATATCTTGATGAAAAATGTGCTGGGGCACAACCTGATTCTTTAACTAACTGTCAGATAAAAGGTTTCTAAAAATAGCCAACTTATTTTTTTTTATTTAATAAACCGCATCGACCTATTGGCCATTAGCGGTATCGGATACAGTACGTTATATTTTATGTAGTACATTACAAAGCTGTAAGAAGTGTATCAGGTCGCGTATGTTACAATTGGGTGCTAAAATGTCACTCAAAGCCATCGATGTAAGGTTGCATTCCACTCTATGGTGTTCTAGTAATGGGCACTGCACTAATAAGTGTTTCACGGTAAGGTTAGTTTCACATATTTCACACATAGGTTCTTAGCCAACTTATTGATTTTGTTGCAATGTGAAGTTTTTCCAGTAGTAAGGGGGCTAAAATTTATCCATAACTGTTTTGTGATTTTATATTGTAATTCAAGGGACAAAAATATAGTATTTTCGACTGTTAAAATTTTGGAACGTCGATGTTGCACTTAAAAATGTTAAAATAGTTATTGCTGATTTGCCTCCTAATACGACAAAAATAATAATAATAATTGAGAAATTTAAAAAAGCATTTTTGATGTATCTCGATCAAGTTGTGACTATATGACTTTTCATCGAGATGTTATGAATATATATCCACCAATTCGAAATCGCAAATAGCTCTGTTACAGTTCAAGGTTTGTTTTTTATGGTCTTGTAAATATCTTCATACTCAACTGGCACAATAATGTTTACTAGTCAGATAAGTTGAGCTATGTAATTATCGCAACACTAACCATTTTCCACAAAAAAAAAACACTCAAATAATGTGCCACATGAAGCACGCTATCATAGTGAAACTCACAGGCAGAATGGATACCCGCAAACGGGTCGGCTCAGGCCGGCTTGCCAACATTTTCTAAATAATGGAGTTTTAATATTTTCCATTGCTTGAAAACCAAATATTTGATGAATATTATAAAATAAATATTGTATTTGAATTATTTAAAAGATATTAAATGAATATTCAATAAAAATATTATATTCCAAATATTTATTAAATATTTGCTTAAGATAGCAAATATTTAAGTAAGATAAAAATATTATTATATATTGGATAAATATTTAATGAATATTTCGTGCTATCGGTTATGGATCAACATCGCATCAACCGTTTGTTTACCGTGGCCACCACCATCGCCTGACCTATCTCCAATTGAACTTTTCAGAGTCATGATAGGTCGCAGGCTCTTGAATTTGCAACATCCTCCACAGACTTTAGCAGCTCTTACTGACAAAGCTGCAGTAACCTGGAATGAGATACCCCAACAGGATATCGACCACCTTATTAGCACGATGCCCAGGCGTGTCAATGAGTGTATAAGAAATCGTGGATCCTCAACACATTATTGAACCAGCTTCTGCAGTCAGTTGACGAATCAAGCGGAAAATTTAATCATTTCACTAGTAAGGGACACTGAACATATATGCCAAAGATTATTAAAATCTGATAAACATACGTAGGTGTTTACCTTTTTTTGTCACAGCTGAAATAATGTCAGGAGTGCTAAATTAATAATTTCAGTCTTAAGTTTCTTATGGATCTCCGATATTATAATGTATAATTCGGATTCCACAGTGCATCCCTTTTGAAAGAAGCTAACATTAATATTCGTTAAACGCTATCTGACGCCAATCTGACGTATTTCCTCAAATGTTGGTTCACTGTTTACGGAAGTAAACTAAGTGCTTGTTTACTGGAATTTCACTCTGATATACTATTTTACCAAGTGACTTGGTAGGTACATTTTTGTCTTGAGTAAACCTTATTTTTCCGGTCAAAAAAATGGATGCCATAATCTTCTTAGGTAATTTCGTCAACCTTGCTTGAGCAACCTCACTCAGTCCACAGTACTGTTATACTGTCATATTGGTAAACCCAAGTCTCACTGATAATAATTATTATAAACCGAGGCAAAATCAGTTTAATTGCTGGCAAATTGATCCAGATGTTTTTGGGAAAGTCTTACTCGAGTTGGTTGTTGATCCAAAGGTAACGAAGGCAGCACATACCATGCCAATATATGGAACAAAAGTTCATTTGAGATGTATAGATATAGGTAGTCATTCGTTTATTATCTATCGTACATATACACGTATATCTTCTATAAAATTAACAAATCATCGTTGGTAGCAGTTTTCTGGCATCCACTGCCATTTGCGCCATGGATGTCAGTATGACCACAGCTAAAGGCCATCTGTCACGATACAAAATTTTTTGCTTAATTTCGTACAAAAAATTGTGCTAAATTAAGGCTAGTGACAGGCAGCATTTAGTACATCATGGATAAACAAGTTTAGTGCTAAATTTTGTAGAACCTGTTAAAAATAATATCATACTAAAAGTGCACACATGACTATCCCTATTTCGCGAGTATCTATCACGGTCGAATGACAGCCGGATATCTAGTAATATCTCAAAATTCCCCATATCGGTACAGCACACTTCTGACGGATCCGTCAATACTAGGTAGACAGAGCCGTATTTCGTTTTCGTCTCTTGTACGCTACAGATTCATTTTGTACTTGCTAACAGGTCTTTAATTCATAAAAGTTCATTTGCATACAAAAAACAGCTGTTTACCTCAGTAGATGTCAAAGCGTTGATCACAACGTTGGAAGTATCATGTGGGATCCGCATTAGCTGTGAAACTCTCCTTTCAGTGTCAAAAACGACCGCCATTTCGGCGGAGAATGTCGAATGTAAATTCCCCAAGTACAACGATGAAAGATGTTTCAGCGTTCCGTAATGGATAGTCCTACAGTTTGTGCGAAGCAATAATAAAGAATGAGCATGATTGTCCAAAACGAAGCGACGAGTATTGATAATTATTAATTTATGAAAAAGCTTCAGAATAAATTTGTAAAGGTGGCAACCCTTCAGTAATTACAATAAACGGAAAAATACTTACGTTTGCTTGATATACTTAAGTAGAAGAAATTGAGGAAACCAGACGAAAACTAACATTTCTTTAACATGATGGTATTTTGGTCTCAAAGAATTTGCCCCACATTTCTTTTTAAGTCCATATCAACATTTACTGAGAGTTTTAAGAAATGTTATTTTTCCTTTTCACATAAATCATCATAGGAGGAATATGATCACACTTTCTCAAATTTGAACATCAGTGTCTGTAGCCTAGCGGCTCGAGGTTCGAGGCGTACGTATCCTTAATCACGGGTCTCTATTGCATATTTTTGGTCAGCGGCTCAAACCCCATCAACATCCTGGAATGTTTTCTTTTTTTGTTTCTTTGTTGAATTATTTCATTGCGACCTATTTAAAACTCAACTTGTATGAATATTTATTAGTTCATAGTCAATATCGATAGTGTCACTTGTCTTCCATACGCCTTTCTTCAACGTCACAGCTGTCAAGCTGCCATTTTTCCAATACCACCAAGAATGTGCCAAGCTGTGGAGTGGTTTGGAACAATGCTGCTTTAAAATGCTATAGGTAAGATGCGATGATGAAATAGGGCAGTTTTACTTTTGAAATTTATTAGAATTTAGAGTATGTCATCAAACCTTTAAAATTAAAGATGGGTTTACTTAAAACTATTCCTGAGTAAACTATCTTCCGCCACTCCGTTCCACTTGTATATTTACCCACACTATTTTTTATAAATTGTGTGTGTTCAAGAAGTGATTTTCAGAAATCCTACCGTATTTTCAGTTCTGGTTCAAGTTTCTGTCTTCGAATCATATGTTTCAAAATTAGATTTGCCAAACGACCTTGGGGGATTAGATTTGCATTCCTGGCGGTAATCACTGCGCGCATTCCTGATGAGCAATCACGACGTGCATTCCTGACTGGTAATCACGACGTACATTCCTAACGGGCAATCACGACGTGCACTCCTGACGGGTAATCGCGATGTGCATTTCTGACGGGTAATCACAGCGTGCATTCCTGGTGGGTAATCACGACGTACATTCCTGACGGACAATCATGACGTGTATTCCAGACGGATAATCACGACGTGCATTCCTGACGGATAATCACGACGTGCATTCCTGACGGACAATCACGACGTGCATTCCTGACGGGCAATCACGGCGTTCATTTCTGTCGAGGAATCATGACGTGCATTCCTGACGGGTAATCACAACATACATTCCGGACGGGCAATCAAGCAAGTCATATGTTTCAAAATTATATTTGCCTAACAGACATGGGGGACTAGATTTGCAGCAACAGAGTATTTTCAAATTTGAGTATTCCGGTCATGAACAACATGATTCTAGCGAATGGTTTAAAACACTACAGGTTAGTACCTACATGAGACATTCATTTTGACAGTATTGTAAAGTTTAATATTAGACGTTGATAGTGGTTCCCAACGTACTAACTTCAAGATTCAACATGCTTGGCAAATCACTATCATATGTGGAGGAATTTGAATGCAAAATGTTTTAAATTTTTGTCTTTGTGTAACTTAAACCAAGATCATATGGAAAACCTGCTTTGCCATATTAGGCAACATCACGACGTGCATTCCTGATGGGCAATCACGACGTGCATTCCTGGCGGGCAATCGCGTCTCTTCCAGATATCTTACGAATCCGGCACCTTCTCCGTTAAAAAGGGAAATTTGCATGTCCAACCCATCAGGTGTGGCACGCTGCCTTCTTATGCAGACTTTCATCCCAGACAAGTTTTGCAGATGGGTAACTGACCTTCTCGCTGGCGGCAAGATATCCAACGTAATTGACGAGTTTTCCTCTTCATCCCACAACGTCAACGGGGGTGTTCCACAGGGATCGGTCTTGGCTCCAATACTATTCCTCTTACATATCAACGACCTCCTTTCATGTACGGCCAACCCAATCGACAGCTTTGCAGATGACCGCACTCTACATGCACGAATTCAGAGCCGATATCTGCTTGTGAGCTGGAAAAAAGAAGACTAGCGGCGACTCCCTCTCTGACGAGAGACCGAGACAACATTGTTGAGTCCCCACTGCTTGGGGACGCAACAATATTGTACAATTTAATGCTCCAAAACACAGTATTGTACCTTGACGAACAAACAACGTAATAGCGCTCATCCGGTTTCGATGGATGGCCGAGTTCTGCCTGAGAGCCGTTCGGCAACACATCTCGTCAATAGCGGTAGCTGCTGGGAAAAAGCTACCTATTTGTTAAGGGCCAAGAAGTACTTTTCTCCGCATGACCTCCATAAATCTATACAAGGCCAGATAGGACCTAACCTCGAGCATTGCTCGCATGTTTGGGCAGCTATCGCACCGACTACATTATCCATGCTCGATGCTGTTCAAAGGAGAGCTGACCGACAGCTCGATGACTTCATCTCTAACGGACAGTCTCGGGATCTTTTCGCACCGGCGAGCCGTCGGCCTTTGGAACACAGAGTTCTCCTCCATGATGTCGCCGCGCGACGTGCCTGCTAGACAGACCCGCCTAAGTTCGGTCCCCCATCCTAACCGTATCGAACTTCGTACATCTAGGACTCGCCGATACGATCGCTCCTTTGTCCAGAGGGTGTCTAGATTATAGAACAATTTATAAGAACAAGCTTTTCCCAGTTCTACTAACCTTAGGCAGTTCAAAAATCGGTTAAAAAAACGCAGGTCACTTTATGCGCTAGAAGATACAAAAATAAATTGCAAACTACATTTCCATTATTTTGATATAAGAAACCTCACAATCAAGCTTGAGTTGTGGTTGAGCAGCTTTGCAACCTCAACAGTGTGTTTAAGATGGAATTGAACAAGAATCACAAAGAGGTGGAAACTACCACTTACAAATAGTTCGCCAAAGCTTGATCCATCTGCGGCCTGTACGTCAAAAATGAAAGGCCCCTACGCTTCTCACCAATACTGAATGCCAATTGTGCTACTCTCAAGGCGTACTATGCAAAAATTGCATAAGTAAATACAGGCAGAACTCAATCTGTTCCATCTCTGTGACCATGACGAACAGTTATACAACGTTGTTTCATGCTACCTACGCCGAAATATTTGTATTGTTGCCACTTCTTTGCGCACTACATATTGAGTTTTTCAGTAGACTATATCCGCTGGATTGCTTTTCGTTGTCAATCTGCAAAACTAGACTTATACCGTACGGGTGGCCATGGTCACAGCAAACATAGGTATTCAGTTCAGCCAAAAACTGTTTTCTATGCGACGCCGATGCACATGCACAGAACAGCATGATTTTAGCGGTGACCTTTATTTTCAGCTACTCGTTTATTCAGTAAACAACACAACACCTGGAACGAACCGAATGGAATGAAATGAAATGTATCACGTGAACCCCGCGTGCTAATCTGGCAGGATTCTTTAACCATAAACCGGGGGCCTGCAGCGAAAAAACACACGTAAGACACGTTTCTGATGTCGGTGAACGTGTATGCAATTTTATACCTAATACTGCATTTGGTCACGAAATACATGGTGTGACGCGAAAGCCATCAAGTACCTATGTTTTACCTATAGGCCTTTGCCATTTGTAGGTATGGTTCGTAATAGAATCTTTGCCCATTTGTCATTGTCTTACGCATGTTAGTCGAATCTATTAGTTCTGAATCAAATCCAAGCGAATAACCAAAATTTCTGTGTTATGTGCCGCGGTTATAATATGGTTCAAGATGACACACGGGTTGATGACGTCAGTTACACGAATCGCTTGAACGCGTTGGTTTTAACCGCGGTTTTGTTGCAAGTTGTTTATTTTAGAAAAGCGCGTATATAATCTCTGATTATTTTTATTATTACTTAATAATCGGTGCTTTTTCGTCTGCAACTGTATATGGAAAGTTTAAATAAGAAACCTTTCATAATATTCATGGGAGAAATGTTTTTTTAGATTTTTTTTTAATGATGGAACCATGGCTTTGTAGCTATGATAACTTTCAATTCTCTAAATTTTTCCGCATGTCAAAGAAAACATTTATTGATTCAGCAGAAATGATGAAAAAAGAAATTAGCAAAACCGTATACAGGTGGATATCATCTAGTGAGTTTATATGGCCATATTTTAATATTCTTGTGGTATATGGCTACACAGGATACTTTGTTAAGCATAGGAACTACATTTAAAGTGTCCTCAACAACCGTAATGAGTATAACTAATAAGGTGTTCCAATTTATGGTAAAAATGAAGCTGAAGTACAATAACAATATCCAATACCCGGCAAAATTCTAACTTGTCACATTTCAAATAATAACCAGAAATATAAAACTACTCTTGAGTTGGGTAAATACCACAATTTTGCGGTGATAACTATGACATATAACAGCTGATTCGTGACGTCACGGATCTTATAACCAAACTGATAACTACACTCGCTTGAACGGATTGGTAAATACCAACCCAAAATGGTAAATACCATTTCCATTTGGTTATCCGCTTGAATTTGATTCTGGTTGCCCAATTACCAGAAAACAGACAATTTAAAAAAATTAAGGAAAGAAGCAGGCTAACAAATAAAGGAGTAGTGTATCGGTTTAAGAAAAAATGGTTGCTTAGTAATAATATAAATTCTGAAAGTAATTCTTAGATAATTTTCCCATGAAAAAGTCCAGTTGCTTATTAAGCTTATGAGTCGATTCTTGAATTCAAGTTGTTAAAAAAAGTCAATGTAGCACCTGAAACTTAGGCTGTGGCTTTCATGCTGATAATCCTCCGATGTAGGGCCACCAAAGAAAACCATATAGATGTTTGAATTACTGTTTAATGGGGGAGGTTTATTATACGAGCATACAATTATTGATGTCTGTTGGAAGTATACAAATAGTACAAAGGACGTTCTAAAAAGAAACACCTAGATAGAAAAATAGCACCTTGTGAACCTCTCATCATATTCCAGATCTCCATTCTTATTTTCAGTGACAACAAAACAATATAGTTTCGAAATGGTTTCGGTTTCATTCCTATTTGAAAAATACATCAAAAACTTTATTTATTAGCTTAGTCGTCTAAGGACAATGGATAGACATCATAGTTCCATAAAATTGAGGCTAACAACTACAAAACGCATGTATCGTATAAATATTGAGCAGACACAGTTTATGACCTTCAGAACACTATCCAAGTCTAAATACTTTTTAATCTGTTATGATTTCATTGAAAGTAATCTGACAGGCAATTCAGCACCTAACGATCAGTGTCTGGGTAAGGTTAATCAAATCTTCATGGCTGTCTCGTCCTCTATCAACATCAAACACAAATTCGGATTATTAAGCATAACTGTTATACGGTTAGAATCACGCGTTCATCATCTGGCATATAAAAATGTCACAGAGTTAATTATACCAAATCTATTTGAGATCTTATAAAACGTAAGTTGATAAAACATAATAACCATCTGCCAAATTACTCTGCTGGTATAAAGGTCAAAATGCCCAAAGCAAACAGAAATATTAGTGGATTAGGATTTATCTTTATTTTACTACATGATGAGGATGTCAGTGCTCAGTGTTTTTCAAGAATGCCTCTTCCCTGCTTTATTTTCTAGGCGGGTTTTCGGATTGTTGAAATTGATGCATAAATACTATATTCTAGCAGTTTAAAACAATATGTCATATGATACTTCATTGCAAAGCTTCTTAGTTTATATTTCTAGAGTATTAATCTGCTGTCTTTTGAAATGTCGAACTGGAGACTGCCAAAGTTCAACGTCTTTTTGACAGAATTTCTTTTAAGTCAACAACTAATCACCAACCAATCATTATTTTTTTGGAAGTGTCTTTGTGACATACAGATATCTAAATACAAAATATGGTATTGTAATTGTCATTTTGAGCTAGACTTTGAACAAGCCACCGTGGTGACCAAAACGTCAGTAAATAGTGATTTCATGGCTTCTTTTGGCTCGAAAAACAAGGAGCTCTATCAGATTGAAATTCACATAAGTTGTAGATGTTACATTAATATATGGAACATTTCTTTTAAGAAGATTGATGGATCCTTTATTTTTTTAAATGGTATGTTGAGCGTTTACGAGCGTTTTGATTGGTGCTTGTTGAGTTATAAGCGATTCAATGAATAAAAATGCTAAAGATTGTATTCTAGAGTTATAAAGTACTACTAAAAGACCTTCATAACGAGATATCACGTGTCCTCTGTTCCACTGCAAAAATGTTCCTAGATGGTGTTCCTCCGCTATCTTGAAGTTTCCAACTGTCATGTTTACGGTAAAGTATAGTATTCATGTTTCAAAGTATTTGAATTTAATAAATTGATTAATGATATAAAACATTCTTCAAATTTAAAAATCTTAAATGTGAAATTAAAAAATTCTTTATGGGTTCCAAAAGCTATAGCGATGTAATTTTATTAGACAAGAGTGTAAAGTTACAGAAAATTGTGTAAAAGAATGATTATACAAAATTGACATTGTAGCATCAATGCCACGTAAATCGTCAACAAACAAACAAAAACTTTATCAAACCGTGTACCAGCTTGTTATGCTCAAAAAAAGTACGATAGTATCTTTTTGAAAAGTACTGTATGGGAGTAATACAGAGCAGCACGTTGTCCATGATACAACTGAAATGCTTGGATGCTGCAGCTAATAATGAACGTTCTTCGAAACTCTCAGTAAGGACCTATTGTTATGCGAATATCTTAAGTAGAGGCTTAACCAGACTTCTGGGGTGGAAGGGATTAAGCTCATCTCAATTTTATTTTTGAATAGGCTGGTTAATACCGGTACTGCTGACTGGAAGAAGGGAATCGATTTAGATTCTAAATTATCATAACTAGACGTATCAAGTGGATACTGGTATATGGAACGGAAATACCAATTACATTGCTTGAAAAACACGCACTAACGCAATGACCAAATGCTACTTATCTCATTAAAACAATGTAAAACATATGAAGACAATCAAGCCAACCCTTTTGTTTACAGCTTGCTCAAATAACTGTAATTTTGCGATAACAAAATGTAGTAGTCTAATTGCAAGATCTTATTTTACTTCGTGCTTCATATCACGTATCATCCATCACATTTTCCTTCCATATTTATATTCAAAGCTGATTTATTCCAACAAAGAACTTCACAACGTTTCGGGTGCGCTAGTTATGTAGTGCTTCGGAATAGGATGAAGTGATTCAAGAACCACAAAAAAGATTCACATGATACGCAAATCAGTTTTGTCAGCAAACATGTGTGAAAGATAATTTCTTGATAATTTGTTTTTGGTACAAAGTTGAATACACTAGTTATTTACTCTAAGAGCAAAGCGCCACCTTATCTACCCTTTTCGGAAGTATATTGAAATGAGAAGCAATAGTTTTGATAAATCTATCTAGCATGTTTAAAATAATACAAACTATGCTGCAAATACTTAAAAATGCCTTCGTGAAAATCACAAGATACATTAACAAGCAATAATACTAATCATGCCTTCCAACCTAATGTTGTGTACCGACATTTCTTGTGTAATATCTACACTGAAACTTAACAGATGTATTAAAAGTATTCTGGTATTTTTGGGAGGTTTCATTAAGAGACTACTCTGCAATGTGGAATCTACATAAATTTGCTATGATAAGTAAGTAGAGATAATATGCACGCCTTATAAAGCGAGAATATATATACCTAGTCTCCGTTGTGCTATAGCGCTGCTCCAAACACTCGAAAAGACATTTAAAATTTGCTTTTCTAGTAAAATAACCTTTATACATCTTATAACCATTTGGAGTAGGAGACTTCGTGTAAATAATTGCAAATCATTTTAATTACTTTCCTATTGTTCGCAACTAGATGGAAAACTGATGATCACTACCTACCAGTGGTTTCACCACCAATACCATTTTGTTATTAAATATTAAAGGTGTAAACTATCTAAAGAGAAGCTCAGTAAAAAAGGGCTTTTGAATATATTTATATTTATTTTAAGCCGGGATATCACAACGCTTCTATTAAAGTTAAATTCTTTGCATTTAAAATAAACTGCAATAGGATACTGCATACCTTAAGCTGATACCTTGGAGTTTACACAACGACATCACTGATACTTGAGTTGGCAGATTACACGCCTTGGAAGAGTAGTAAAATCGATAGTACCAAAAACCAATTTCAGAAAATTCTATTCTAAACATACTAAAAAACTCATGTAATAGATTCTGCTAAATATAAACCAAGCATCAAAATAAGTAGAGGAGTAAACAGATATCTCGCGAACATTCATATCAGTCCATAAAACATGCAACAATGAATCATTGAATGTCGCTTTCGGAACTTTCCAGAGTTTTCCTCTATTGACTAGCCTGCATATTAATATAGCTTAATAATATATAATGAGCGATAACATGATCATAGTAGAAAATATGATAATTTATCAGTTTGTTTGGAAATACACTGGCAATATTTAAAAGAACTGGACAAGTCTCATATCAAGTTTCAATGTTCGCGAGTCTTTTTGAAGCTTACCTCGAAATTTCAAAACCCTGCCAGTCTTTATTCTTTGGCTAGCTTAGGGCAGATAGTGATGAATGATGGGATTTTCAATCTTGCAAAGCATTTTACCATCTCATCCAGCAAATTTCTACAGGGGTCCAATAGAACAAGCTAGTACAGAGGATTAAATATTGCCGAATAGCCGAGAGACAGGTGAACACACAAAATAAAATTATTTTTAGTGATTATGTGAACTGTCGAGAAAAATTCGAAATTTCTCGCCTTTAGAATATTTTCCATACCTGCTGACGTGGAAAGCAAAAAGCGAAAGGGAAGCACATTCCCATTACTCCATCTCGGTGAGCCCTGTCTGAACCCTGTAGAGATGCTGGTCACTGCATAATTTGCAGTATCAATTTCAATTTCAATGAAATTTTCAAATTCCAATGAGATGTGTTGTATACTTTTATTTTAACTTCTTAAGTGGCTATGACCTATAAATCCGGATTTCCAAATTCTAGTTACAGTGACTGACGGATATAATCGCGACCAGATTTTCCTTTGGGCGTTTAATGGCTATGCCGAATATAGTCATGTGCGAGGGTTCACACCGTGGTCGAATCTCGTATGGATGCGCCGGTGCGGAAAAAGACGCGCTTTTTTGTCTCTACCGATATCGTTCGTCATTGCCCTTGTGCCCTTATGGCACATGCTGCAGTATTTATGTACTATTATAAATGTCTGTGTTTTGTTGGTTTAGTTTATTGAAAATATTAAATATGTCGAAACCATAATACAAACTGTATTTTCCCGTAGATATATCATGGAAACGCCATTTTTTCCAAAAGTTATGAGCAAAAGAAGATTCCACTTACTGATAAAATTTGTACACTCTGTTGATAACAAGAATAAATGTATATAAATAATGTCAAAAGCTTGCTAAAATTTTGTGAGTTTTGAATCATTTGAAACATTTATGTCCACTTATATACCCAATGGATGAATCTTTGATAGGTTGAAAAGGCAGGCTAACTTGGAAACAATATATTCCATCAAAACGGAAGATGCTTGGAATGAAAATATTTGCATTATGTAAAAGTTCAATTTTACAATATACATCGGCTCTGACACTTACTAGTAGAAAAGTATTCAGAAGAACACCAGTGACTGCTAGGATAGTCCTCTCTCTAACGGATCACCCACTAGGAAAATGTTATCGACTAGAACCAATTTTGTATGACAGTAAGAATAAGATTAAATAGAAAATGCCCACTGACATAATAAAGAAACTTTCTAAGGTTGAGACTGTCGCTCGTTATAGAGAAAAAATTATGGGTCAAAAATGGTGAGATAAGAAAGACGTCCTTATGTTAAAAACAATACATGACGAAAGCATGGGAACATTTAAAAAAAAGGACCGGCGATGTTGAAAAACCCCAGTGTATTCTGG